AAGCATAGGGAACTTGGCAAATGGTTCATGCTCCGTAAATGTATGTAGGTAAATGAATACATACATGCATGAATGAGAGGTTGGAATAAATCATATTCCTTAGGAACTGTCTTGCAAATAACAGAAACCTAGCTTAAATCAACTAGAGTAAGAGAAGAGGGGGATTTTTGAGTCACAAAACTGAAAAGTCTAGAAAAAGACTTTCAAGCATGAATGGGGTTCCGGACATGACTAGATCTGGGAGTTCCCAAGATAATGTTGGGAAGAACAACGTCTGACTCTCAGCTCTGTTGTCTTGATGGTGGTTTCTTGATGAGCTGGCAGTTTCCTGATCATCTTGTCACCTCAGCAACCCGTGTGAGCAGAGTCTTACTTTCCCCTAATACTTCCGGCAGAGCTATGGGATTGAGTCTCATTGGTTGTGGTCGATCACATGCTTCTTCCTGAACCAGTCACTGAGGCCAGGGAGATGGGATGCTTGGGTCAGCCAGGCCTGGGTCATGTCTTTCGGGGCTTGGGGCCCAGGTAGGGGGTGAGGGAGGAGGTTCATCTGTGGCTGAAGCTCGTAGGTTGAGATTGGGAGAAGTTCAGTTCCCCCAGAGAAAACTGCATGTTGCCATAAACAGCGCAGTAGATGCCAGGCAGGCAGTGAGAGCAGATAATCTGCCCACAGGGCGTCAGGGTTTTTAGAAGGTGGGCTGGAGTGTGGGGGTTCTGTTCGTTGGTTTTCCACGTTTCTCAAAAAAGGCACCTAGGGGACCGGTGCTCCTCATTGTGTATGAAGGACTTTTGCACCCTTGACCCTCGCCTATTACAAGGCTGTTGCAAACTCCAGTCTCCTCCTGCCTGGAGCCCCAGTCATTGTGCCCATCCTACCAGCCTCTTCAGATTTCCAAACACTGCCTGTTGGGAACCTGTTAAAACCTGTGCTTCCACTAGACTGTGCGTCTCAGGGTTGCCAAGCCCACCTCAGTCCCCAGTGCATAATAGGTGCTCAGTTAACACCTGAGGGGCGGATGGCTGGATGACCTCCTCCTTAGGGAGAAACCAGGACTGTGGACCTGAAAGGGGCTGCATGATGTTGTCCTGTCCCCTCTCTGTATGTGCCCTGTGCTGCCAGCAGCCAGCATCAATTGATACTTGGCTCACCAAGGGGGCTGGTACGTTTTGGTGGTGAGATGCCTGAGGCCTGGTTTGCTTACTGCTGAAGAGACACTTCTGATGGGCTCTTCCGCCCTAAGGCAAATTCATCCATCCCTTCCCCACTCATTTATCCACTCTCACCCGTCCATCATCTACCCAGCAGACATTCACTGAGCACCATATCCTGGGCTCTGTCCTAGGCTCTGACAATACAGCAGTGAATACTACAGGTAATAATCTCCAGTCGTGGAACATTTATTTTCACGGAAAGAGACAGACAAGAAATAGTAGGCACAATAAATCCTAGTGCTAGAGAAAGCCATCCTAAGTGCTATAGAAAGAAAAGAGTCAGGTCTTTGTAATAGGGGAGGCTTGCAGTTTTAAATAGGGTGGTCCAGGCTCACTCAGAAGGTGACACTTGAGGAAAGAGTTGATGGAGGTGTAGAGGCCAACCAGGGGGAGCAAGAGCACGTGCAAAGGCCCCGGGGCATTACTGTGCCCGTTCATAGCTGAGATAAGCATGGAGGCTGAAACAGTGGGAGTGAGGGGAGAGTGACAGATGAGGCCAAATGAGGTACAGGGAAGGGACTTTACAAACCAGCTGGGCCCTGGGATCTGAGTCAGCACTTTGACTTCTACACTGAAAAATAGGTTGACTTTGGAGAGATGCTTTAAAAAAAATTACTTGTTTAGAGATGGGGGCGTCACTCTGTTACCCAGGCTGGTGTGGCGGTGCAGTCATAGCTCACTGCAGCCTCGACCTCCTGGACTCAAGTAATTCTCCTGCCTCAGCCTCCTTAGTAGCTAGGACTACAGGTGCATGCCACTATGCCCGACTTATTTTTTATTAATATTATTACTATTATTATTTTGAGACGGAGTCTTGCTCTGTCGCCCAGGCTGGAGTGCAATGGCGCGATCTTGGCTCATTGCAACCTCCACCTCCCGGGTTAAAGCAATTCTCCTGCCTCAGCCTCCTAGTAGCTGGGACTACAGGCACACACCACCACATCCAGCTAATTTTCATATTTTTAGTAGAGACGGGGTTTTGCTGTTTGGGCAGGCTGGTCTTGAACTCCTGACCTCAGGTGATCCACCTGCCTCGGCCTCCCAACATGCTGGAATTACAGGCATGAGCCATGGAGCCAGCTGCCTGGCTTATTTTGTAAAAGATTTTGTAGAGACACAGCGTTGCTTTGTTGCGCAGGCTCAGCTCGAACTCCTGACCTCAAGTGATCGCCCCTCCTTGGTCTCCCAAAGCATTTGGATTACACGCGTGGGCTACCATGCCCATCCAAATTTATTTTTTTTGATGAACATGTAATTCACCATTTTAAAGTGTGCAATTCAGTGGTTTTTTCGTGTAGGTGGTGTGACACTCACCCAGTGGGTCTTCGTGTAGGTGGCGTGACGGTTGCCCAGTGGGTTTTCGTGTAGGTGGTGTGACAGTTGCCCAGTGGGTTTTTGTGTAGGTGGCGTGACACTCACCCAGTGGGTTTTCGTGTAGGTGGCGTGACGCTCACCCAGTGGGTTTTCGTGTAGGTGGCGTGACGCTCACCCAGTGGGTTTTCGTGTAGGTGGCATGATGGTCACCTGGTGGGTTTTCGTGTAGGTGGTGTGACAGTCGTGCAGTGGGTTTTTGTGTAGGTAGTGTGACGGTCACCCAGTGGGTTTTTTGTATAAATGATACGATAGTCACCACTAATTTCAGGACGTTGTCATTACCCCAAAAGGAAGCCCTGTATCTGTTGTCACTTGCTCCCCAAACCTTCCATTCCAGGCAACCACTAATCTGCTTTCTGTCTCTGTCTGTTTATCTTCTCTGGACGTTACATATAAATGGAATCAAACAACAGGTGACCTTTTCTGACTGCTTCTTTCTTTCTTTTTTTTTTTTTTTTTGAGATGGAGTTTCGCTCTTGTTGCCCACCTGGAGTGCAATGGCACGACCTTGGCTCCCTACAACCTTTGCCTCCCGAGTTCAAGCGATTCTCCTGCCTCAGCCTCCTGAGTAGCTGGGATTATAGGCATGCACCTCCACTCCTGGCTAATTTTGTATTTTTAGTAGAGACGGAGTTTCTCCATGTTGATCAGGCTGGTCTGCAACTCCCGACCTCAGGTGATCCACCCCCCTCAGCCTCCCAAAGTGCTGGGATTTCAGGTGTGAGCCACCCCGCCCGGCCATCTGACTGGTTTCTTAGCATGATGTTTTCAAAGTTTATCCATGTTTTAGCATGTGTAAGAATTTCACTCCTTTTTATGGCTGAATAGTCTATCATGTAGATACACGTAGACTCTTTTGAGTAAAGAGTATATCTCTGGGCCGGGCATGGTGGCTCACACCTGTAATCCCAGCACTTTGGGAGGCCGAGGCAGACAGATCACTTGAGGCCAGGAGCTCAAGACCAGCCTGACCAAAATGGTGAAACTCCATCTCTACTAAGAAAAATACAAAAAAATTAGCTGGGCATGGTGGCGGGCGCCTGTAGTCCCAGCTACTTGGAGGCTGAGGCATGAGAATCGTTTGACCCTGGGAGGCAGAGGTTGCAGTGAGCTGCGATTGCACCACTGCACTCCATCCTGTGCAAAGGAATGAGACTGTGTCTCAAAAAAAAAAAAAAAAGTATCGTGAGGTAGGATGCCAGTGTGTCGTTACCGCTTAGAAGACAGGAGCCAGGATGGTGGCTCACGCCTGTAATCCCAGCACTTCAGGTGGCCGAGGCAGGCAGATGGCCTGAGCCCAGGCATTCAAGAACAGCCTAGGAAACATAGGGAGACCCTGTCTGTACAAAAATAAAAAGAATTAGCTGGGCATGGCGGTATGCACCTGTAGTCCTTGTTACTCAGGAGGCTGAGGTGGGAGGAATGCTTAGGCCCGGGAGGTCGAGGCTGTGGTGAGCCATGATTGCACCCCTGCACCCAGGGATCATGTGTCCCTGTCATTTTGAGCACCTTGCCTCCCTCTTGGCATTGGCGCCTGGAAAATTTCTGTGCCATGGCTCAACGTCATCTGTCTTGTTAATGTCAGAGCCAGAACACGAACCAGCTCTGCCTGCCCGTGGGACCAGGCTCTCGCTCATGGAACCAGGTTAATAGATTCCTTGGAAGAATGATCAAAGGAATTTGGACCAAATCCTGTAACAAGAAATAAAAACAGCTGCCATCTGTTGAGTTTTACCGTGCTTGGGCCCTGTGCATATAAGCACCCTTTGTAAGTGCCAGCAGCCCTTGGAAGCACGTCATGACTCCCATTTTATAGATGAGAAAAGAGGGGCTCACCTGGAGAGGTGAAATAACTCAAACAGGGCCCCACAGCGGATAGACGGCAAAGCGTGTGGTTTTTACTTTTAAGCCGTATGACCTTCCAGGAAGTAGCAATGAAATGGCAGTGCTGAGGCCCTGAAAATACAGGGGATGATGGCCAGATGGCAGGGCTGTTTGGTAGACTGGGAGACGCATCTCCCTTGAATGGTGAGAGGGAGGAGCCAGGCGGCCACCCGGCTGGAAGATGGTTTCAGGCAGAGGAAACTGCAGGGGCAAAGGCCTGGCTTGGGGATCGTGCTTGGTGCTTTTGAGAAACACTAAGAATGCCCCTCTAGAACATCGCCGAGAAAATTGATGGGAGAGGGCAGTTCTTGGGGCTCCTGATCATTGATTTATCCAGTTCATTCCTGGAGTGTTTAGTGAGCATCTGCTGTGTGCCAGATGCTGCACCAGGCTTTTCCACGAGCTCCAGCAGCCGGCCAGTTGTGGCTACCTGGGGAGGGCCCGAGCTTGTCCCCAGGGCCTGTCACTGCTCCTAGAATGATGATTCTCACTCAGGGCACAGCAGTCAGCACTGGACGTTCTGCTTGCAGGTGGCCCTGTGCACATTTGCCGTCTACGTCACCATTGACAAGAACAACATCCTGGATGCCCAGAAAGCCTTCGTGTCTTTGGCCTTGTTCAACATCCTCCGGTTTCCCCTGAACATTCTCCCCATGGTCATCAGCAGCATCGTGCAGGTACAGGGGGAAACTGGGGCGACTTCAGAGAGGGGGCCTTGGGGTTCTAGGCCGCAAAAGCATGGAAATGCCCCTGAGCGCAGCCTCTAGATCATGCTCCCAAATGGGCTCCATGAGGCCTGGACCGAGGCTGCCATGCTTCTGTCTGGTCATGCCCGAAAGAAAGAAAATGCGTTTGACTTCTTGACAGAGAACTCGCATGTGAGTAGATAAATCAAGTTTAATGCAGCAAGGCTTTCCCATGCTCTGGAAGAATCTTTCTGAAATACTCTGTTCTCTTCTTCTATTCGTCCTCCATTCCTATCCTTTTTTTCAAAAATGTAGTTCTTGTCTGACCTGATTGATTTTACAACCCACTGATAGGTCTTCACCACCCACGCTTTGAGAAACCCCAATCTTACAGCCGGGTGCAGTGGTTCACGCCTATAATCCCAGCACTTTGGGAGGCTGAGACAGGTAGATCACCTGAGGTCAAGAGTTCGAGACCAACCTGGCCAACACGGTGCAACCTCTACTAAAAATACAAAAATTAGCCAGGTGTGGTGGTGGGTCCCTGTAATCCCAGCTACTCGGAAGGCTGAGGCAGGAGAATTGCTTGAGCTCAGGAGGAAGAGTTTGCAGTGAGCCAAGATCGTGCCATTGCACTCCAGTCTGGGTGACACAGCAAAAACTCCGTCTCAAAATTAAAAAAAAAAAAGAGAAGAAAAACCCCAGCCTTACGGCTGGGTATGGTGGCACATGCCTATAATCCCAGCACTTTGGGAGGCCAAGGCAGGTGGATCTCTTGAGCCCAGGAGTTTGAGACTAGCTTGGGCAATGTGGTGAAACCCTGTCTGTACCAAAAAATATATATATATATAAAATATATAAATATATATTTTATGTTATGTATGTAATATATATATTTTATATATTATATTTTATGTATTATATATAATTTATATTATGTCATATGTTGTCATATATATGTCATATATACACACACACACATGCACGCACACATATATGAAAATTAGCCAGGCATGGTGATGTGCCCCTGTACTCCCAGCTACTCAGGAGGCTGAGGTGGGAGGAGCAGCTGAGCTTGGGAAGTTGAGGCTGCATTGAGTCATAGTCACACCACTACACTCTAGCCTGGGTGAAGGGAGTAAGACCCTGTTTTTGTTGTTGTTTAAAAAAAAAATAATGCAGACCCTGTAGAATCTGTAAAATTTGTGCCATTGACTGTGTAAGGAGGGGTGGCTTTCTCCTCTGTCACACTTGGGCAGTGTTGGAAGCTCCTGTCGCTTTGCTGCACTATTTTCACATTCTTTTTCTGAGCATTGGAACATTCATTTTGAAAACTCCATTTCAACTACATAGACAAATCAACCTTAAAATTTGATAGTACAACTCTGATTGCAGGCTTTGTCAAACACAAAAAATTCTTTTTATTATGAAAAATGTCAAGTGTACACAGAAGTAGAATAGCTTTAAGCTTGTGAGCTGGTATTAAAAAGAAAGAAAGAAAGAAAGAAAAAGCCAGGCATGATGGCTCACACCTGCCGTCCCAGCACTTTGGGAGGCCAAGGCGGGTGGATCACCTGAGGTCAGGAGTTCAAGACTCACCTGGCCAACATGGGGGAAACCCTGTCTCTACTAAAAATACAAAAATTAGCCAGGTGTGGTGGCGGGTGCCTGTAATCCCAGCTAATCTGGAGGCTGAGGCACGAGAATCGCTTGAACCCAGGAGGCGGAGGTTGCAGTGAGCCGAGATCACGCCATTGCACTCCAGCCTGCGTGTGACTGAGTGAGACTTCATCTCCAAAAAAGGGAACAATACAACATGAACCCTGTGTACACATCACTCAGATTCAACATCAGCATTTTTTGGCTGGGCACAGTGGCCTGTAATCCCAGCACTTTGGGAGGCTGAGGTGGTAGGATTGCTTCAGTCCAGGCATTCAAAATCAGCCTGGGCAACATAATGAGACCCCATCTCTACAAAAAATAACAAAATGGGCATGGGGTACATGCCTGCAGTGGCTACATGGGAGGCTGAGGCAGGAGGATTGCTTGAGCCTAGGAATTTGAGGCTGCAGTGAGCTATATTTGTACCACCACACACCAGCCTGGGCAACAGAGCAAGACTCTGTCTCAAAAAAAGAAACCAAGGCCTGGCACGGTGACTCACACCTGTAATCCCAGCACTTTGGGAGGCTGAGGCAGGCGGATCACGAGGTCAGGAGATTGAGACCATCCTGGCTAACATGATGAAACCCTGTCTCTACTAAAAATACAAAAAAATTAGCCGGCATGGTGGCGGGCGCCTGTAGTCCTAGCTACTCAGGAGGCTGAGGCAGGAGAATGGCGTGAACCCTGCAGGCGGAGCTTGCAGTGAGCCGAGATGGCGCCACTGCACTCCAGCCTGGGCGACAGAGCGAGACTCTGTCTCAAAAAAAAAAAAAGAAAAAAGAAACCAAAACATTTTGCCACAGTTGTTTTATCTCATCCTTTTTAAGTATCCCTCCCTTGTCCTTCTCTCCCTTCATTTTTTTTTAATGCTAAACTCTGCTATCTATCTCTTCATTCTTTCCTTTCTTTGCCAAATAATTTTAAAGCAAATCTCGGACCCCTCACATTCTACCCACAAATACTTCAGCATGCATTTCTTCCGACATAATATAGCACCATCATCATGTCTAAGCAAATTAACAATAAGTTTTTACAATAATACTCAGCCCATATCCAAGTTTTCTGGCGTATCTCAGAAACGCCTGTCCCATTGGGCTGTTTGAATTGGCTCTGTTGCGTTTGCTGTTATGTTTCCAGAGTCCCTTTTCCACCAGGCCTCTGCCCTTTTTTTCTTATATTTTTATTTATTTTTTATTTATTTTTTTGAGATGGAGCCTCAATCTGTCGCTCAGGCTGGAGTGCAGTGGCACGATCTTGGCTCACTGCAACCTCTGCCTTCCCAGGTTCAAGTGATTCTCCTGCTTCCGCCTCCCGAGTAGCTGGGATTGCAGGTGCACGCCACCACACCAGGCTAATTTAATATATTTTTTTAGCAGAGGCGGGGTTTCACCATGTCGGCCAGGCTGGTCTCAAACTCCTGACCTCAAGTGATATGCCTGCCTCGGCCTCCCAAAGTGTTGGGATTACAGGCTTGTGCTGCCGTGCCCAGTCATTTGCCCATGTTTTTCTGAAATACCTTTTGTGGGCTTTTAAAACAGCAGAACCAAAACCTGTTTCTTTCTTTTTTTGTTTTGTTTTGTTTTGTTTTATTTAATACTAAAGTGTACACTGGTTCTAAGAAATGTGGGACCTTCGGAAATAAGGGAGGGTGTGTGCCCCTCCAGGGAAACCACTGGAAGTTAACCTTGGTTTGTTTTGCAAAAAGCTGTTTAAAAATAACTCTCCCCTACCATTGCTCTCTGTATAGGCGAGTGTCTCCCTCAAACGCCTGAGGATCTTTCTTTCCCATGAGGAACTGGAACCTGACAGCATCGAGCGACGGCCTGTCAAAGACGGTGTGTGTGTGTTCGGTCCTGGTTTCTGGAAGCAGCCGCCTTCCCATCTCCCACCGGGTCCTCCCTACTTGCAGTTGTTTCCCTTGGCTGCCCTCAGGTCTGACTCTGCCCAGCCGCTTGTCTGCGAGAGCCCGGGAGACAAGGCTTCTGCAGAGCTGGCAGAAGGGAAGGGAAGCCTGGCCGCCTAGGCCTCTGTCCTATCTTACACTTCCCAGGAGGGCGAACTTGCACTCGCATTCTTGTTTTCTTGCTGAGGGGCAGCGGCTGCTTGAGGCTTCCTCCTGGGAGTCACTTTCCAAGGCTTTGACCTTGATTCTATTCTGGGCTAAACGAGGACTCTGGAGGCTGGCCAGCCTCCACCACCCACAAGCTGCGCAGACTTAGGTCTGAGGCTCAGTTTTATCTAGATAAGGAAAACAAAAGTACCTTTCTTTGGCACAGTGTTACTTGGATTTTTTTTTTTTTTTTTTTTGAGACAGGGTCTCATTCCATCGCCCAGGCTGGAGTGCAGTGGCGCAGTCACGACTGTCACTGCAGCCTTGATTTCGTGGGCTCAGGTGATCCTCCGACCTCAGCCTCCCAAGTAGCTGAAACTACAGGCACACAGCACCATACTTGGATAATTTTTTGGTATGTTTTATAGAGACAGGGTTTCGCCATGTTGTCCAGGCTGGTCTCGAGCTCCTTAGCTCAAGCAATCCACCTGCCTTAGCTTCCCAAAATGCTGGGCTCATAGGCATGAGCCGCTTCTCCTGGGCTTTTTATTTTTTTCAATATTAAGTTTTTTTATTTGGAGAGACAAGGTCTTGCTTTGTTCCTCAAGTTGGTCTTGAATTCCTGGGCTCAAGGATCCCTCTGCCTCAGCCTCCCAAAGTGCTGGGATTACAGATGTGAGCCACCACACCCGGCCATGCATTTTTATTGACAGGTTTGTTTTTTTTGTAGCTTGTTTATTTATCCTTTCCCAGCCCATCCCCCTGAGCCAGGGATCTTGTTTGCAACCATCTCTCGAGGCACTTAATAATAAATATTAGGTCAGGCACAGTGGCTCACGCCTGGAATCCCAGCACCTTGGGAGGCTGAGGTGAGCGGATCACTTGAGGTCAGGAGTTGAGGTCAGGACACCAGCCTGGCCAACTTGGTGAAACCCTGTCTCTACTGAAAATATAAAAATTAGCTGGACTTGGTGTTGGGCACCTGTAATCCCAACTACTCTAGAGGCTGAGGCGGGAGAATCATTTGAATCCAGGAGGCGGAGGTTGCAGTGAGCCGAGATCACACCACTGTAGTCCAGCCAGGGCAACACAGGGAGACTCCATCTCAAAAAAAAGAAAAAAATTAATGTCTCAGAGTGCAGTGACACGTTCACTTATAAAGCCCCTGTCATGCATGTTCTGTTTGAAGGATGTCAATGTCCCAACTTGTCCGTTACTCACTGTGGCACCCCTGGAGGAGGGTGATGGAAACCCCCCTCTTCTAGGTGAAGAAACTGGCCTCTGAAACTTGCCTGAGATTGCACAGCTGATCAAAAGAAGAGCTAGGATTCATACAGCCTGTCGGTCGAGTCCATGCTCTTCCTGGCCATAGCATGTTGTCTCACTGAGATTTACTGAGCACCTACTATGTGCCAAGTGTGCACTGCCTCATAGACACCCCACCACAGCCCTCTGAAGTTGATTGCATGGTTGTCAACCGTATTGTATAGATGAAAAAGTGAGGCACAGGCTGGGTACAGTGGCTCGTACCTGTAATCCTAGCACTTTGGGAGGCCAAGGCTGGAGGACTGCTTGAGGCCAGCAGTTTGAGACTACCTTGGGTAATGTAGTGAGACCTCATCTCTACAAAAATTAAAAAATTAACTAGGCATGGTGGTGTACCTGTAGTCCTAGTTACTTGAGAGACTGAGGCAGGAGGATTGGCTGAGCCCAGGAGTTCAAGGCTATAGTGAGCTATGATCATGCCACTGTACTCCAGCCTGGGCATCAGAGTAAGACCCTGTCTCAAAAAAAAAAAAAAAAGAAAGAAAGAAAAAAGGCACAGAGAAGTTAAATAACTTGCCCGTGGCTACCCAGCTGCGAAGTGGTTGTCCCAGGATTCAAACCCATACAGTCTGGCTCCAGAGTCCAAAGAATGTGGTCAGAAGATTGAATGTGTGTAAATGTCGGTTATACTGCGTGAGCTGTGTCTGGCACCTCGCAGGCGCTCAGGTATCTTTAGTGGCACCTAAAACATTTGACACGTTTGACACAGCACCTGGTGCATAGAAGATGCTAAACAGGCCGGGCGCGGTGGCTCAAGCCTGTAATCCCAGCACTTTGGGAGGCCGAGGCGGGTGGATCACGAGGTCAGGAGATCGAGACTATCCTGGCTAACATGGTGAAACCCCGTCTCTACGAAAAATACAAAAAACTAGCCGGGCATGGTGGCGGGCGCCTGTAGTCTCAGCTACTTGGGAGGCTGAGGCGGGAGAATGGCGTGAACCCGGGAGGCGGAGCTTGCAGTGAGCCGAGATCACGCCACTGCACTTCAGCCTGGGAGACACAGCGAGACTTCGTCTCAAAAAAAAAAAAAAAAAAAAAAAAAAAAAAAAAAGAAGATGCTAAACAGATCGCGGGAGTCGTCCCTTCTCTGGTCTGAGCGAGACGATCTCAGCATCTTCAGCTCAGCCAGCCCCTGGTGTGGGGTTTCTTATCCTGGGCGCTACTGACATCTGGAGACACATTATTGTTTGTGATTGGGGACTGTCCTGTGCACTGTGGGATGCTGAGCAACAACCCTGGACTCTACCCATTAGATACAGTAGTACCCACCCCAATTTTGACAACCAAAAATGGCTCCAGACGTTGCCAGATGAGCCTTGAGAGGCACAGTTGCCTCCAGTTGAGAACCGTGGCCCAAGTGGATGCTGGATTCCTCCTCCCAACACCCCTAGGCTGTGGTCATCTGGTTTCTGCTGTCCCAGTGTGCCACATCCCCTCACATGATAAGGGAATGATTCCATCTACTCTGGGGTCAAATTTCTCTGCTGAACACAGGCTGAAATTTGAGGCGGCCGGCGGTGGGGTGCTGGTTTCTTGCTTCTGAAGTTGTTCACGACTCAATACAAGCATCAGGAAACCCCTAGGCCCCTGGGTGCCGCCCGCACCCCAGGCCCTCCTTCCTGCCCTAATAGTGGCCTCCTAGGTGGTTGGACTTTCTGGAATGTTTAGCATGCTCTAGCCAGTGGGGGCCCCCTTTGGCTGCTCCCTGCTCCCAAGCTAACCGTTCCCTGCAACCTTCTCTGCAACCTCTCGCTCCAGTGGCTTTTCTTAAATTCCTTAAATAGCAACTCCCAGTTTCCTCATTCCATGTCCTCTCTTTTAGAAGAGCTGAGGGAGAATGTTAATCTAGGTTAACCAGTGACTTCCTCTCTCTGTAGGTTTTTTGTTTCTTTGATGCATGGATGAAGTTATTTCTTCATTTGACAACTTAAAGAAAAACTTCTGTATTATCTCTAGATGGTCTTAAGGTGGCTCATAATTCAGAGAGTTGCTTTTCTGTTGTTTTTTTTTTTTCTTTTTCTTTTTTCTTTTTTGAGACAGAGTCTATTGCCCAGACTGGAGTGCAGTGGCACAATCTTGGCTCTCTGCAAACTCTGCCTCTCGGTTTCAAGCGATTCTCCTGCCTCAGCCTCCCAAGTAGCTGGGACTACAGGCATGCGCCACAATACCTGGCTAATTTTTGTATTTTTAGTAGAGATGGGGCTTCACCATGTTGGCCAGGCTGGTCTCAAACTCCTGACGTAGGTGATCTGCCCGCCTCGGTCTCCCAAAGTGTTGGGATTATAAGCATGAGCCACTGTGCCCAGCCTGTTTTTCTTTTAAGTGAGAGACATGAAGTAAAAGGAAAATAATGGGAAGAAGAGTAAAAGAAGACAGGTGCTAGGAGCCTTAGAAATGTGGAGCTGGCTGGGCACTGTGTCTCATGCCTATAATTCCAGCACTTTGGGAGGCCGAGGCCAGCAGATCACTTGAGGCCAAGAGTTCGAGACCAGCCTGAGCAACATGTCAAGACCCCATCTCTACAAAAAATACAAAAAAATTAGCTGGGCATGATGGTGCACATCCTGTAGTCCCAGTTGCTCAGGAGGCTGAAGTGGGAGAATTGCTTGAGCCTGGGAGATGGAGGTTGCAGTGAGCTGAGGTCGCACCAATGCACTCCAGTCTGGGTGCAGAAGCCAGATCCTGTCTCAGAAGAAGATAGAAACACGGAGCCATATAACGTGGGCTTTGTCTCCAACGCTCTCACCTCCCCTGTGCCCTCATACCACACTTCCTGTTCCGTATCCTCTTTTTTTTGAGTTTATCGTGATGCGTGTTTTAGAAAGACCCACCTGCTGTGATGTGATGTGTGTAGGGTGGTGTGGCTGGGGGAGGATGAGAGACAGAGAGGACATGGGGAGAAGGGTGAATGACCTCCCTTTGAACCTCAAGGAGGGCCCAACGGTCTGATGCAGGCCACCCCGATGGAGAGAGGTTTGCATGTGGACGCCAGCTGTTTCCCACTGACCTTGGCCACTGCTGGGACCTCCCAGCTGGAGCTGCCCCGAACCTGCCTGAGAAGGGCCAGGGCGTGCAGAGCGTTGAGTAACCCTCGTGGGGCCCCCGCCTCTGCAGTCGTTTCCCGAGATGAGCATCCGGATGGCGCAACCCCGTCTTTCAAGGACAAAGCTTCTTGCAGTTTCCTTCTGCTTTCTGGGTCTGGGGCTGCCTCCAAAACTGCAGCTTGGGGTTCTTTCAGAACCTGTGACTGATGTCACCAGGTAATAATGCCTAGCGTCATTCGCGTCGAGCGTCTGGGGTTGAACCACTCAAGCAGAGAAAGAGAGCGCTCTGCTTACGCGGAGTCCCACAGTTCAGCCTGTGCCTGACGTGTTGTCTCTGTGCTTTGTAGGCGGGGATACGAACAGCGTCACCGTGAGGAACGCCACATTCACCTGGGCCAGGAGCGACCCTCCCACGCTGAATGGGTAAGCCGGGATGTGGACACATGTGATGACGTGGAGAGAGCCACAGGGTTTTTGTCAAACATGGATTTGAATTCCCACCGTGCTCCATCTCTGTGACCTTGAACAACTCACTTTGCCCTTCTAAGACTTAGCTTACCCATCTGGAAAATGGGTGCAGATACACCTGCTTAGGCTGGCGTGAGAAGCAGACACAGAGGTGCCTAGCACAGAGGGTTCCCTCTGATTGTGAGTCATAGCAGCCTTGGACAGATAGATTTAGACAATACAGGAGATTCTTGGCTTGCTTAACTGGGAAGTTCTACTTTCAGGTACAGTGTGACCCAGGGATTCTGCCATCGGAACTTTTTTCATATTTTCTGTGTTTCACTTTCTCCTGGTCTGCATTATCCTCACGCATCCTCTCCCCTTGTGATGGCAAATGGTCTCAACAGCTCCCACTCTGTATCCTACTGTTAAGAGAACTGCCTGCTTCTTGCTGACCCAGACTTGGTCCTCTGCCCTCTGTGGGCCAATCACTATGCCTGCAGACACGGAGCATGCCGATTGGCCAGTCTTAGTCAGAGGCTGCGATGCTGCTGAACTCCAGTGCCCCTCAGCTGCCCAGCTCACCCTTTCTTGCCAGCTTTCTGCCTGGCACCCCACACCCTACAGTCCTTACCTTTCCAAAGCACATGGTGTCTAGGAAATCGACCTTACCCCCAGGCAACTCTTCAAGCATCTCTCATTTTTTTCTGACCAGAGGCCTTGATCAACAGCTTTTTAGGCCCCCTTAAGAAATCTGCAAAACACACGGGTGATGGGACCCTTTTAGAGCTTTAGCTCATGCCTGGGTAGCCAAATCACTGCTGTGTTTTAACGTGTAGGAGACAAACTCTCCAGAGAAAAGAATCTGTATGACGCCTGCATTGAAAATTCATGGTGGTACTGCATGCTTAGGAAGTTCTTCCTTATGTCTAACTTAAATCCTGCCTGCTTCAATTGTAGCTGTTCTCTCTTGTTGAGCTCCACAACTAATCTGTATGTGTCCCTTTCCTGACCCAGTGGTTTTCCTGTTGCAGTTATGTTCCCCCCATGAGCCCCCAGAACCTTTCTCTAACCCTTTCTCTCATCAGCCTATAAGAATATTTCAGTCTTGGCCGAGCGCGGTGGCTCACGCCTGTAATCCCAGCACTTTGGGAGGCTGAGTCGGGCATCATGAGGTCAGGAGATCAAGACCATCCTGGCTAACATGGTGAAACCCTGTCTATACTAAAAATACAAAAAAATTAGCCAGGTGTGGTGGCGGGCGCCTGTAGTCCCAGCTACTTGGGAGGCTGAGGCAGGAGAATGGCCTGAACCAGGGAGGCAGAGCTTGCAGTGAACCGAGATTGCACCACTGCACTCCAACCTGGGCAACAGAGTGAGACTCTGTCTCAAAAAAAAAAAAAAAAAAATTTTTTTTCAGTCTCACATGGACAGTTGCAGGTACTGTCTCGCTGGGATTCCTGCCTACTCAGGCCCCATAATCCATTCTCCTCCCAGCACAGGAACAAAATGCCTGATAAGTATCACCATGCAACAGTGTCATAAGAATGAAACAATTAGTGACAGCAACGACTATCAGCATTTCCACTAATACTCTGAAATCAGAAAGGTGGCAGTTAAAAAGCACATAATCCCAGCACTTTGGGAGGCCAAGGTGGGCAGATCACCTGAAGTCCAAAGTTTGAGACCAGCCTGGTCAACATAGTGAAACCACGTCGCTACTAAAAATAAAAAAATTTGCCAGACACGGCTCACGCCTGTAATCCTAGCGATTTGGGAGGCCGAGGTGGGCGGATCACCTGAGGTCAGAAGTTCAAGACCAGTCTGACCAACATAGAGAAACCCCGTCTCTACTAAAATACAAAAAATTAGCCAGGCGTGGTGGTGCATCCCTATAATCCCAGGTATTTAGGAGGCTGAGGCAGGAGAAATGCTTGAACCTGGGAGGTGGAGGTTGCGGTGAGCTGAGATTGCGCCATTGCCCTCCAGCCTGGGCAACAAGAGTAAAACTCTGTCTCAAAAAAATAAAAAATAAAAAAATTAGCTGGGCATGGTGGTGCATGCCTGTAATCCCAGCACTTTGGGAGGCTGAGGTAGGCAGATCACTGGAGGTCAGCAGTTTGAGACCAGCCTGGCCAACATGGGGAAAACTCATCTCTACTAAAAATATAAAAATTAGCTCTACGTGGTGGCACCTGCCTGTAATCCCAGCTACTTGCGAGGCTGAGGCATGAGAATCACTTGAACCTGGGAGGTGGAGGTTGCAGTGAGTCAAGATCAAGCCAATGCACTCCAACCTGGGCCACAGAGTGAGACTCCGTCTCAAAAATAAATAAATATATAAGTAAATACAGATAAAAAATAAAAGCATATTCCATGTAAGTGAGCCCAGCAAAGCCTTGGATGTGCCCTCCCTTCCCTGGGAGGATGGAAACCCTGCTCTGGCTGTGCCATTGGCAGTGGGAGTGGCCTGGGGTTGTCTTGCCCCATTGACAGCCACTGTTGCTGGGAGAATGTTGAGCTTATTTTATTTTGCTTTCTACTGTTCGTTAAAGGATGATTTCAATAGAAATATCTTCCCAAAGTTCAACTCAGATTTATTCATGTCTGTCTCCCTTTTCAACCCTTTGGTGGCTCCTGGCTGGCAGAGTTCAGGTGTCTTAGCACAGCGTCTTCCAGGGCATCTTTCAGGGTGCTCCCAGGCCTGGCTACCACCTACCTTAGTGCCATCACATCCCTGGTTACACCCCGTGCCTTCACCCCTTTACACCTTTCTCCAGCTCTCCCCGTATTTCCATGTCTTGGACACTTGCTTTTCTGTCAGAGTTTTGATTTTTTTTTTCTTTTTTTTTTTTTTTTTGAGACAGAGTCTCACGCTCTTGCCCAGGCTGGAGTGCAGTGGCACGATCTCGGCTCACTGTAACCTCCACTTCTTGGGTTCAAGCGATTCTTGTGCCTCAGCCTCCTGAGTAGCTGGGATCACAGGCCCCTGCCACCATGTGTGGCTAATTTTTGTGTTATCAGTAGAGACGGGGTTTCACCATGTTGGCCAGGCTGGTTTCGAGCTCCTGACCTTGTGATCCGCCCGCCTCAGCCTCCCTCCGCCCACCTTGCTGGGATTACCAGCACTGGCATGAGCCACCGTGCCTAGCCCCAGTTTGTCTTGAGGTGTCCTCTCCTCTCAGACCTTGCCTCATGCCCCCAGTGAAGTTTCTGTCCCTCTTTCAGCTCAGTGTGACGGGATCCCTCAGGTTACTCTGTGCCTCTCTTCTCTAAGGTACACCTGTCACCTGCCTCCCACCTGGAGCGCCCCTGAGACGGGTCACTGAACTGAACTCAGCAGTGTTCAGTTGAGGCCTTCAGTGTTTAGTATGGCCGTGCCTTCTGTCTGTCTCTCTCTTTCTCTACTTGGGGTAAATCGAGGCTCAGTGACCAGGGGCATCAGCCTGGCAGGCCTCATTCACTGCAGCTGAGCCAGGTGTGTTGTGTCGTTTCAGCATCACCTTCTCCATCCCGGAAGGTGCCTTGGTGGCCGTGGTGGGCCAGGTGGGCTGCGGAAAGTCGTCGCTGCTCTCAGCTCTCTTGGCCGAGATGGACAAAGTGGAGGGGCACGTGGCTATCAAGGTAGGATGAGGACCAGCAGGCAGGGGCAGTGGGGAAGCTGGTGGTCTGAGGAAAAGCTCAAAAATGATGCTGTTTCTTTTAACTGTCCCTGTGCCGGAAGTGAGAGTAGCAATGTCTGTTTTCCTCTTCCTCCTTTATCTTTCCGTCTGTCCCTTTCTCTCGCGTTCTTTCTGTTCTGTTCTGTGCCATCCTAGAAGGCAGGATTTTGGTATCATTTATTTCCGTCTGTCTCCCAGCACTTAAAATAGTGCCCAGTATGTAGTAGGCACTTAATAAATATTTATTTTGTTATCTGCTTATTAAGCTGTAATTTTTTAATTTTTATTTTTATTATTTTTTTTTGAGACAGGGTCAGGCTCTGTCCCCCAGGCTGGAGTGAAGTGGCACGATCTCGGCTCACTGCAGCCTCTGCCTCCTGGGTCCAAGCGATTCTCCTGCCTCAGCCTCCCGAGTAGCTGGGATTACAGGCATGCGCCACCATGCCCAGCTAATTTTTATATTTTTTTAGTAGAGACAGAGTTTTATCATGTTGGCCAGGCTGGTCTCAAATTCCTGACCTCAAATGATCTGCCCACCTCTGTCTCCCAAAGTGCTGGGATTACAGGTGTGAGCCACTGCACCCGGCCACTTAATAAATACTTAGTAGACACATGAAGGCTCCCTGGTACGCGGCCTGCCTCCTTCCTTTGCGTCTCTGCCTGTCACTGAGTGTCTCGTGGTCTCTTTGGGTCTTTTTGGATTGTTCTTTATCTTTATGGATCTCTCTGGGTATCTCTTCTTATAAATGTAACAAAACGAAAATATGTGGTTGGAATATTTTCTTAGAACATTTTTTAAAGGGAACAGTTTAAATTTTTAGTGTTTGTTGAATTCTTAATAGGGGGCTAAAAGAAGACTGCAGTTTTACTGCTTTTAAATACACGGTGTACTTTGAAGTAAGTTGAAATTCCCCAAGAGTGAGCTTAAGAGGCGGCTTTACCAGTAAGTCCCACTGGCAATCAACAGTCTTCAGTTTGCATTTAGTTAACTCTGCATGAAGGCCTTTTCCTAGTGTAACAATACATCCCCGAAAGTTTTGCTACCAGCATTTCCAGGAGTGTGGTCTGCAGCCAGCTCACCTTGCAGGACGTCTGGGTGAGAAAGAACCCCAGACTCAAACGAGCATGGGAAATAATGAATACTCCGACCCCCTCCCTCTTATAATAAACGTTAGCAAATTAAGGCTCTGACAAGTCCTGCAGTGAGAAAAAAATCTATTAACTGTTTAACCTCATGTGTCCCAGGTGTACTTGCCTGCACCTCTTTAGTGTCTGTGCAACTGCACATTTGTCTCTTGGAATCTGCCTTTGGGAATGTCAAGCTTATGATGTTTGTTGTTGTGCTGGTTTTTTGTTTTGTTTTTGTTTTCGTTTTTGCTTTTTTTTGAGACAGTTGCCCAGGCTTGATGCAGTGGTGTGATCTTGGCTAGCTGCAACCTCCGCCTCCTAGGTTCAACCGATTCTCCTGCCTCGGCCTCCTGAGTAGCTGGGATTATAGGCACGTGCTGTTACCGTGCCCAGCTAATTTTTGTACTTGTAGTAGAGATGGGGTTTTACCATGTTGGCCTGGGTAGTCTAGGGCTCCTGACCTCTGGTGATCTGCCCATCTAGGCTTCCCAAAGTGCTGGGATTACAGGTGTGAGCTACTGCTCCTGGCCTAGTTTATGACATTGTTTTTATTTCCGAGCAAAACCCTTTCTTCGTTGATTATACTATGCCTTTGAAAAGTATGCATTGTGATTGGGTCCAAACTAATGACCTTTAACTGTTGTTTTAAGAAATGTTTTATCATTACTTTCAAGTCCATGCCATAAAATAAGATTAATGAGCCGTGAGAGCTAGATTAATGGGAGAAAATTCCAAATCTTGGTGGGATCCACATTGCTTTCTGCAGGTTTCTGCTATCCTGGCACTATTATCATTTCAGGCCAGATGATTATTTATTATTGGTTGTTTTGCCCAAGTAAGGGGAGTGCTAGAAATGTGTATAAAATATTTATCTTTTCCCAAATGTTTTAGTCTGTGTGGTTTATGTATTTTTCTATGGGTTCTATGGTAAGGCACCTCTGTTGACATTTTGGCTTCTTAAAAGTTAGGATATTCAAGTCAGCAGGTTAATTATTTGAGAATTTAGAGTAAGAATGAGGGCAGCTAGGACCCGCTGTCAGCTTTGCCCTCTCTAGAATTCCCTTATTCAAGAATCTTCTGGCTGGGCGTGGTGGCTCACACCTGTAATCCCAGCACTTTGGGAGGCTGAAGCAAGTTGATCACCTGAGGTCAGGAGTTTGAGACCAGCCTGACCAGCATGGCAAAACCCCATCTCTACTAAAAATATAAAAATTAGCGGGCCTGGTGGTGTGTGCCTTTAGTCCCAGCTACTCAGGACGCTGAGGAAGGAGAATCCCTTGAGCCCAGAGGCGGAGATTGCAGTGAGCTGAGATCTTGCCACTGTATTCCAGCCTGGGCGACAGCGAAGCTTCGTTTCAAAAAAAAAAAAAAAGAATCTTCAGGGGCTGCCCGTTGCCCTTCCAATAAAACCCATGGTCCTCACCATGAATAGGCCCCCTTGCTGTCCCTGGTGTGTTTTTTGCCAGTCGTTCCCTCATAGGATTGATCGATGTTCCTGTCACACTGGACTTTCTGCTCCTTGAATGTGCCAAGTACTTTTCATCTCTAGGCCTTCGCATGTCCTGTTCCCTCGGACTTGAATGCTCTTCATTCTTCTCCTTATGAAACGGACTCATTCTTCACTTTTTGGTTCTTGTCTAAACATATGTTTGAGTCGGGCATGATGGCTCATGCCTATAATCCCAGCACTTCCGGAGGCCGAGGCAGGAGGATCACTTGAGGCCAGGAGTTCGGGACCAGACTCAGCAACATGGAGAGATTTTGTTTCTACAAACATAATAAATAGAGAGAATGTTTTTTAACTACCCCAGCATTTTCATTAGCAAAATACACAAAACAAATATCCTTACTCTAGCCTTTATTCTCATGCTATTTGTGATACCTGACATTATATGGAAATAAAAGTAAACCTTTGAAACGGATGCTTTGATATAGGAGTCTTTGCTTCGATTTTTAGCAAGGATGTTTCCTCGAGGATCCTTCCCGGATGTCCCACACTAGGTCAGTCTTTTATTTTTAATGTTTTTGGGATAGAGTCTTGCTCTGTGGTCCAAGCTGGAGTGCAGTGGCATGGTGCAGTCTCAGCTCATGGTAACTCCATGTCCTGGGCTCAGGTGACCCTCCTACCTCAGCCTCCCAAGTAGCTGGGACTACAGATGCACAGCACCATTGCCTGGCTAGTTTTTCTCTTTTTTTTTTTTTTTTTTTTAAAGAGATAGGGTTTCTCTGTGTTGCCCAGGCTGGCTTTGAACTCCTGACCTCAAGCAGTTTGCCTGCCTTGGCCTCCCAAAGTACTGAGATTACAGGCATGAGCCACTGCGCCTAGTCAAGTCAGACTTCTAAAAATTGTCATATATCTTTTTCTCTTAGCATCCACCATAACTGTAATCAAGTAGCTTTTGGCCATGTCAGGGGCTTCCACTCTTTGGAAGCGGGGGTTTTGATCGCCGCTGTAGGTGTTGAGTTAATAGCTAGCTACTAAATAAATAACTGTAATTTTATCAACGAGGATACCAGCTCTTTCACTCCTGATGTTGGAGTCAGCGATTCACCTGGTATGGGTTCTCATCCCAGCCCTGGCATCTGTTGTCCTTCGTGCAGTTTCCCTCTTGCCAAAGCAATAGGTGTGATGAAAATGACTTGTGAAGTGAGGCCCTCGTAGCAGGTGGTTGGGCCAGCTGCTGTCTTGTTGATCAGATCTGTCTGTGTGTCTGTCTCACCTCCTTCTCCATTTGCCACTTAGGGCTCGGTGGCCTATGTGCCACAGCAGGCCTGGATTCAGAATGATTCTCTCCAAGAAAACATCCTTTTTGGATGTCAGCTGGAGGAACCGTATTACAGGTCCGTGATACAGGCCTGTGCCCTCCTCCCAGACCTGGAAATCCTGCCCAGCGGGGATCGGACAGAGATTGGCGAGAAGGTCAGTATAGTTTTGATGTTGGCCCCTGGATGAGTCATCTGTTGCTGCCTAACAAACACTCTCACACTCTCAGTGGTCTGTGAGTCTACTGCAGTCAGCTGACCTGGCGGGGCTCAGCTGGGTCGCTCTGCTGAACTCTGCAGGCCAGCTGAGCTTGGGTCCAGGCTGTGGGTGTGGCTCAGGTCTCCCTTACAGAGCTGTTTGCTGGGGACTGGGGTGAGGGCTCAGCAGCTTTCCAAAGGGAGGCTCTTTTCATGGTGGCAGCAGAGGCCCAAGATAGGCCCCCAAAAAAGCATGCAGTGTCCCTTAAAGTACACTGTCCTTTCCACTCACAAAGCAAGTCACTTGGCCAAGCTCGAAGGGAAGGGACGAAGGGAAGGGACCAGGAAGGAAGTACATTCTACCTTTGTGGTCACATGACTTCAGAGTCACACGACAGAGGGCATGCTGTTGAGGGGAGTGGTCAATGATTCAGATGTTCACAGTCCCTGTCAAGACAGACGTAATACTGAAAATAGCACAATAGCTAACACTTACTGAGCATTTTCTCACTCTTTATTTCTTTTCTTTTCTCTTTTCTTTTCCTTTTTTTGAGATGGAGTCTCACTCTGTTGCCCAGGCTGGAGTGCAGTGGCACACACTCTGCTCACTGCAACCTCTGACTCCCAGGTTCAAGCGATCCTCCTGCCTCAGCCTCCTGAGTAGCTGGAATTACAGGTGCACATCACCACACTCGGCTAATTTTTGTATTTTTAGTAGAGGCGGGGTTTTACTATGTTGCCAGACTGGTCTCGAACTCCTGACCTTAAGTGATCTGCCAGCCTCAGCCTCTCGAAGTTCTTTTTTTTATTTATTTTATTTTTTTTTATTTTGAGATGGAGTTTCTCTCTGTCACCCAGGCTAGAGTGTAGTGGCACAATCTTGGCTCACTGCAACCTCTGCCTCCCACGTGCAAGTGATTCTCCTGCCTCAGCCTCTTGAGTAGCTGGGACTACAGGCCCCTGCCACCACACCCAGCTAATTTCTGTATTTTTAGTAGAGGTGGGATTTCACCGTGTTGGCCATGCCGATCGTGAACTCCTGGCCTCAGGTGATCTGCCCGCCTCTGCCTCAAAGTACTGGCATTACAGATGTTAGCCACCTCCCCCGGCCTATAACTTGAGTATTTTCTGTATGCCGGGAACTATGCTAAACATTTTACACATAATTATTCCTCACAGCAAACCCATGGGTAGAATTTGTTGTTATACCTAGGTAATCATTGAGGAAAAAGAGGCACAGAGAGGCCAAGTGAGTTGCCTGAGGCCACACAGCCACAGAACTGCAGAGAGCATGGTTCCTGGGTTCATGTTCTTACCTGCTCGTTTTGTCATCTCTAAAAGGGCCATTCTCTGTGCCTCTCACCACTGCAGACTCTCCCTCCCCCTGTGCTCCAGCCCCCAGGTTTTCCTGCTGTTCCTCAGCAATCCCCAGCTCTTGCCCACCTCCACAGCTTGGTCTGAGCCTTCCAGGCCTGGGGTGCCCTCCCCTGCTGCTCGCCTGACCACTTTGCTCTCGCGCCCCATGGTGGTCGTCTGGTGTATCCCCTTTTGGAAGACCAAGAGTGCAAAATGCTGGCCCATTTCTGTTTTTAGTTACAAGCCAGGGGCTCTGTCGGCTTTCTTACTTGGTGAATGATGTTTAAAAATTGAGGTAAGTCTGTAGCTCCTTGGAAATAAAAAACAAATTATTGACCGGGCATGGTAGCTCACGCCTATAATCCCAGCAGTTTGGGAGACCAAGGTGGGAGGATTGCCTGAGGTCAGTAGTTTGAGTCCAGCCTGGGCAACATGGTGAAAACCCATCTCTACAACAAATACAAAAGTTGCCAGGCGTGGTGCTGTGCGCCTGTGGTCCCAGCCACTCAGGGCTAAGGTGAGAGGATTGTTTGAACCTGGGAGGTGGAGATTATAGTGAGCCGAGATGGTGCCACTGCACTCCATCCTGGGCGACAGAGCAAGTTTCTGTCTCAAAAAACAAATAGAAGGCACCTGGCTGCCAGGGCTGCCACCTCAGTGCCTGGGAGCCAGGGCAGGCATCTCAGGAGGGGCTGGGCAGTAACCTGTGATTTCCAGCCAAAGAGGGAAATGACGTTGGCTTATCTGTCATGGTGGGAGCTGGCGCTGCTGTTGGTCCATGCATTGTCCTTCCTTCTGGTGACTGGGACGTGGGCTGGATTTCAGCGTCCCCAGGCTGGAGCTTTGCTTCGCCTATTATGTGGCTTTGCCGGACAGTGACAGATCCAGGGTAAGCTGGCAAACACGGCACCTGTGACCAACAGCAGCAGTAGCGTTAATATGCCCATGTCCACCAGCGCCTTCCATGAGACTAAGAAATCAGGGCTTTCCCACTGGCCAACATGATTTGGTGCCATCAGCCAGCCTTCGCTGAGTGCTTGCTGTGTGCCACGTGCCCTGCTCAGCACCTCACGGGAGACTCAAGTTTTCTCTTTGCCCAGTTTACAGGTGGGGCTAAACCCTGTGCCTGTGATCCCATCCTTGGTGGCGGTGGAGCTGGGGCCTGGCTCCAGGTTTGTGCAGGCGGCATGACCTCATGCCTTCAGCCTCAAACTCAGAGAAGAGGTGGCGGGTGCAGCTCTGCAGGGCCTCCACCCTGGGCCTGCTGTGTCCTGAGCAGGCTCTATGCTTTTCTTTCTTTTGTAAAGAGACAGGGTCTCATTCTGTCGCCCAGGCTGGGGTACAGTGGCCCAGCCATAGCTCATTGCAGCTTCGAACTCCTGGGCTCAAGCCATCTTCCCACTCGGACTCCTGAATAGCTGGAACTACAGGCGCACGCCACCAGGCTTGGCTAATTTTTTCTTTTTTTTTGTTTTGTAGAGGCAGGGTCTCCCTATGTTGCTCAGGCTGGTCTCAAACCCCTGGCCTCAAGCAATCCTTCCGCCTCAGCCTCCCAAAGTTCTGGGATCACACCACACTCAGCCTGCTTCTGCATTTCTTGAGTCTCAACGTTTCCCAGGAAACCCATTCTTGTGCCATGTCTCTCCCCAGGGCGTGAACCTGTCTGGGGGCCAGAAGCAACGCGTGAGCCTGGCCCGGGCCGTGTACTGCAATGCTGACATTTACCTCTTCGATGATCCCCTCTCAGCAGTGGATGCCCACGTGGGAAAACATATCTTTGAAAATGTGATTGGCCCCAAGGGGATGCTGAAGAACAAGGTGCCTGCTGGCGGGGCGGGGCTTGGCGTTGGGCTGTCTCGCCCTTTGGTTAAGTCAGAACGTGTCCCCTTTAGGAGTCCTTTACTTTCTCTGGCTTTCTTTGTGTTTAACTGGACTTTAAAGAACACATTTCTCATGCTTCTCTTGGAAGCCTTCCTAAGACAACTGTCTTGTAGTTGTCTTTATAGGGGTAAGTCTTCCATGCAGAGTTAAATTCATTGCCTCTGCATGGCCAAGGGAGGCCCGTCTTCCTGATTGAGTCCCAGGGCTGGCTTCTCAGCCGGGAATCCCACCCCAAGACACTGCCTGTGACCCAGCAGGATGTGTTTTCTTACTTGCAGAGGTGGCTGTGGGTGGAGGGGTTGGAAAATTGCCACAACATCTTAACATGATAGGAAATAGTTCCTATGTTCTTTTTATAGGGCAGTTGTGGTAATGGGTGCACACTGGCTCTTTTTCTTCCCCTGATTTTATTTTACTATTTTTTATTTTTTTATCTTTTTTGAGGGGGAGTTTCGTTCTTGTTGCCCAGGCTGGAGTGCAATGGAGTGATCTCGGCTCACTGCAACCTCCACCTCCAGGGTTCAAGCAATTCTCCTGCTTTGGCCTCCCTAGTAGGTGGAATTACAGGTGTGCACCACCACGCCTGGCTAACTTTTTGTATTTTTAGTAGAGTCGGGGTTTTACCATGTTGACCAGGCTGGTCTCAAACTCCTGACCTCAAGTGATCCGCCTGCCTCGGCCTCCCAAAGTGCTGGGATTACAGGCATGAGCCACCAGGCCCAGCTGTTTCCCCTGATTTTAAAACTAACTCATCCCCATGGGTGGGATATAGATTAAGAAAAACATGAACAAGAAAGATGGAAGCAGTTACATACATTCCACTGGTTAGAGATTTTGTATTTCTTTCAAGCCTTTTTGCTCTGTGTATAAACTTTCTAAATAGGGTTATCTCGTTACGCATATATATACAGGAAGCATCATGCTATGTGACCTCTTGTAAGCATTCCCATACATACCACTAACATTCTGTGCAAACATATTTTAAAGTAGTAAAAAACATTTTTGAAAATTACTAATACATGCCCATGGTAACAAAATTGAAAAGTACAAGAATATGGATATATTCTTACAATATGTGTGTGTGTGTGTGTGTGTGTGTATAAAGTAAATAAAGCTGGGCACAGTGAGTAATCCCAACACTTTTGGAGGCCTGGACCAGTGGATGACCTGAGGTCAGGAGTTCGAGACCAGCCTGGCCAACATGGTGAAACCCCGTCTCTACTAAAAATACAAAAATCAGCCAGGCATGGTGGTGCATGCCGGTAATCCCAGCTACTTGGGAAGCTGAGGCAGGAGAATCTCTTGAACCCGGGAGGTGGAGGTTGCAGTGATCTGAGATTGCGCCGCTGCACTCTAGCCTGGGCAACAGAGTGAGACCCCGTCTCAGAAGATATATATAAATAAAGTAAATAAAGTAGTCCCTCTTCATCCTGCATCCCTAATCTTTAATTCTTCTCTTAGACAGCAAGGGTTAGCAAATCTGGCCCACCGCCTGCTTTTTGTATGGCTCTTGAGCTAGAATGATGTGTGTATTTTTAAATAGAAGAAATCTAAACAGGAAGAATATTTTGTGACATTTGAAAATCGTATTAAATTTAAATATCAGTGTCCATAAATAAAACTTTATTGGAACATGGCCAATGTATTTTTTTCTTTTCTTTCTTTTTTTTTTTTTTTTCCGGAGACAGGGTTTTGCTCTGTTGTCCAGGCTGGCGTGCAGTGCCACAAGCATGGCATGGCAGCCTCCAACTCCTGGGCTGAAGCAGTCCCCTTCTGCCTTCTGAGTAGCTCCTGGGACTACAGGCACACACCACCGTGGCTGGCTGATTGATTTTTATTTTTATATTTTTTTGTGGAGACACATCTCACTATGTTTCCCAGGCTGGTTTCAAACTCTTCGCCTCAAGGGATCCTCCCGTTTTGGCCTCCCAGAGTGCTGGGATTACAGGTCTGAGTCACCGCACGTGTCCTGTTGTTTAAAGTGTCATCTGTGGCTACTGGAACCCAGCAGAGCTGAGTTGGTGGTGTGGCAACTGTAAGATCCATAAAGCTGAACAGATTGACCGTTCGCTGTTTAAGGAAACATATGCTAACTTTTATTAACAGTTTGATGAATGTCTTCCCAAACTTTCAGATCTGCAGATCAAATGTATTCATGTGCATACTTTGTAGTGGTTTCGGAGGTAGCTAACAGCGGGAGTTGTTTGAGAAAAAAATTAAGCCAGGGCCGGGCACAGTGGCTCATGCCTGTAATCCAAGGCGGGTGGATTGCTTGAGCTCAGGAGTTCAAGATAAGTCTGGGCAACACGATGAGACCCCTGTCTCGACAAAAAATACAAAAGTTAGCTGGGCGTGGTGGCACCTATCTGTGGTCCCAGATACTTGGGAGGCTGAGGCAGGAGAATTGCTTGAACCCAGGAAGTACAGGTTGCAGTGAGCTGAGATCGCACCACTGCACTCCAGCCTGGGTGACAGAGAGAGACCGTATGTCAAAAAAAAAAAAAAAAGAAGAAGAAGAAAAGAATTAAGCCATTGGGCCGCGTGCAGTGGCTCATGCCTATAATCCTAGCACTTTGGGAGGCCGAGATGGGTGGATTGCATGAGCTCAGGAATTTGAGACCAGCCTGGGCAACATGGTGAAACCCCATCTCTACTAAAATGCAAAACAAATCAGCCAGGTGTCATGGTGGGTGCCTGTAATCCCAGCTACGTGGGAGGCTAAGGCATGGGAATTGCTTGAACCCGGGAGGCGGAGGTTGCATTGAGCCGAGACCATGCCACTGCACTCCAGCCTGGGCAACTGAAACTCTGTCTCAAAAAAAAAAAAAAAAAAAAAAAATTTAAACCATTGCATACAAACTGTTTTGCAGCGGCACCATCCTTTTATTCCTTAACACACTTGTATGGTTCCCTCCCTATCTGTTGTCATTCAGGTTTTTGTTAAAAAAATAACCTTCCCTATCGCCTTTGTTAAAATTGTAAAACCCACACACTTGGTCCACCCATTCCCCTTTTTTGCTGCGTTTTCGCCATTCAGCAAGCACTATTTTACTAGTGTTCATTTCTCCTCCAGCCCTGGAATCTGCGGCAGCGGTCTTTGTTTCCTGCCACCTCCCCAGCTTTTAGCTCAGCACCTGCGGCGTGGCAGGCCCTTTGCACATGCGCGTGAAAGGACGGTGTGCACGGGTTCAGCTGCTCCTGGATGCTGTTATCGCAGGTGCATGTCCCACCTGCAGACCTGAGTTCTGCCCGCCAGGTGTTCGTTGGCTCATTCCTCCTTTAGTCTTCACTCTACCAAGCCAGGCAGTCTTGCACGTGTGCACTGATGTGGCCGGGTATCCCCTTTGCCCACAGACGCGGATCTTGGTCACGCACAGCATGAGCTACTTGCCGCAGGTGGACGTCATCATCGTCATGAGCGGCGGCAAGATCTCTGAGATGGGCTCCTACCAGGAGCTGCTGGCCCGAGACGGCGCCTTCGCTGAGTTCCTGCGTACCTATGCCAGTGCAGAGCAGGAGCAGGACCCAGAGGACAACGGTAGGGGCAACCTCAGGGTTCCTCCCTCTCGGAGTATCTGGCGCCTTGAAGGGCCACACTGGCCTCTTTGAGGTTGCCACCAGCCATCCGGGGAAAGTGGCTCATCGGGGTATGAGGGTGGGAGCTGGATGGAGCCCCCTGAAGTACCAACTTGGAAATCCATCTTAGTCCCTGCAGCGCTGAATTGGGAGGGAGTCTCTGTGCTTTACGGCCAGGGGATGGGAGCACCAGGCTTCAGCTTAGCTGACCTCAGGGCAGGATCCAGCGCCTTCCTGGAACATGACCTTGGGCCTGATGAGTTTCAGGGTCCTTATGGCAAAAATGGGAACGATGGTAATTAAAGTCCTGGCTCTCACGGCTGAGAGGAACTGAGGACACACGTGACACAAGAGATGTGACGGTTGTGAAGTGAAGCACGGAGTTAAGCTGGCAGGCTTGGGTTGGTGACGTCTGGGTTCAGTCCCCAGTCGCTCATCTCCCCAGCTGTGTGACCTCAGGCCTGCCCTTCAGATCCATCTGAGCTTCATTTCCCTCCCTCATAAGGCGGTTTAGCAGGGCCAGACGTGGTGGTTCCCAACACTTGTAATCCCAATAGTTAGAGAGATTGAGGCAGGAGGATCGCTCCAGCCCAGGAGTTTGAGACCATCCTCCGTAGCATGGCGAAACCTCATCTCTACAAAAAATACAAAAAATTTGCCAGGCGCAGTGGCTCACGCCTGTAATCTCAGCACTTCGGGAGGCCAAGGTGGGTGGATCACTTGAGGCCAGGAGTTCAAGACCAGCCTGGCCAACATACTGAAACCTCAACTCTACAAAAAAAAAAAAAGGTTTCAGATACTATTAAGTGCTATGAAGGGGAAAAATAAAAGACAGTGCCATGGGCTGAGGAGTGATGGGTGTCATTGTGGCAATTCAGGCAGGGAATAGAGGAAACACCCTCTGGGGAGGTTGCATCAGCGTGGGAGGGAGCCAGCAGGGAGAAGATCTGGAAACAGTGTTGTGGGCACAGGGAACAGCAAGTGCAAAGGCCTCAGGACCAGCAGGAGCTCAGTTTGTTTACCAAACAGAAAGGCTGGTGTGGCCAGACCATGGTGTGCCGGGACATGGGGGCAGGAGAAGAGGTCAGCACAGTGATGGTCCTGCAGGGCCTTCCAGGTGGGTTTTGGTCTAACTGCCCTGGGAAGCCACTGAATGTCAGAGAGGCAAAGTGACCAGCCCCAGGATACACAGCATCTGCTGGCAGGGTCAGTTCTCAAGTTGGTCTCTGAGTTTCTCATCCTCTGGCTGGGGTGGGACCTCCTTCTCTGCAGGGGTCCTAGTGGTCTCTAATAAGTGCTTTCTTGAGATATAATTCACACACGTAGGCTGGGCGCAGCGGCTCATGCCTGTAATCCCAGCACTTTAGGAGGCCGACGCAGGTGGATCACCTGAGGTCAGGAGTTCGAGACCAGCCTGGCCAGCATGGAGAAACCCTATCTCTACTAAAAATACAAAAATTAGCTTGGCATGGTAGTGCACGCCTATAGGCCCAGCTACTAGGGAGGCTGAGGCAGGAGAATAGCTTGAACCTGGGAGGCGGAGGTTGCAGTGAGCCAAGATCATAGCACTACACTCCAGCCTGGGTGACAGAGCAAGACTTAGTCTCAAAAACAAAAACAAAACCAAAAACAAAAAACCAAAAAGCAAAACAAAACAAAAATTCACACAACATACAGTTAACCCAGTTAAATCACACAATTCAACCATCACCACAATCAAGGTTAGAACTTTTTTTAAATTACCCCCAAAAGAAACCCCAATCCATCAGCCATGACTCCCTATTTTCCCCAGCATCCCCCAAGCCCTAGGCAACCACTAATCTACTTTCTGTCTCTAGATTTGCTTATTCTGGACATTTCATATAAATGGCATCACAATAGGTGGAATGTTGTGACTGGCGGCTTTTACACTTAGCGTGATGTTTTCAAGGTTCAACTGAGTTGTAGCTTCATTTCCTTTTATTGCAGAATAATATGCCATTGTGCAGATAGACCACACACTGTGTTGATCTGTTCACTGGTTGATGGACATTCAGGTTACTTCCATTTCCTGACCCTTGTGAATACTGCTGTCATGAGCCCTGGTGATTTTAGAGGAAAAGTTGGTGGCCAGGCGTGGTGGCTTGTGCCTGTAATCCCAGCACTTTGGGAGGCCAAGGCGGATGGATCACTTGAGGTCAGGAGTTCAAGATCAGCCTGGCCAACATGGTAAAACCTCATCTCTACTAAAAATACAAAAATTAGCTGGGGTGGTGGTGCTCACCTGTAGTCCGGGCTATTCGGGAGGCTGAGGTCAGGGAACGGCTTGAGCCTGGGTGTTGGAGGCTGCTGTGAGCCAAGATCATGCCACTGCACTCCGTCGGGCCTAGGTGACAGAGCAAGACCATGGCTCAAAAAAAAAAAGTTGGATTTTTGTTTCTTGCCAGTGTGTGATAGCTGACATTCCCTTCAGCTTTTAAATTCTCTGATTAGAATGAATTTCTGCATGTTCATTCCCTTGTGGTTGGGAAGTTGTGTCTTGAGTCTAGCCTGTTTCTTCTTGCTGCAGAATCCCTCCTCATCTGTCTCTTAGCCGGAGCAATGGGTTGTGGCAACTTCTTGGTGACTTTTTCACTGACCTGCTTGGCAGGCTACTTTTAGGTGAAAATACCCTTTGTGCTTTCTAATTGAAAATGTGTGGGTGTAGCTGAATCTTTTGCCCAATGTGAGATCTCTCTCTCTACCCTTCCATCCAGGTGAGCAAAAAATGTCCTTAAACTCTGTTGGCCCCAGATAGTTTCCGGCCCCCACTTCCTTTCCCAGCTGCTAGAGTATCCAAGCAGTGTATACAGAACATGGGAGGCTGCCAGTGGCGTTACGATTTTTTGTGCACATCAGCACTTAATTTGGCGACGCAAATGCCACCCACCACCCTGGCACCTCGTTTGACCTCATTTCCCCAGTTTGACCTCCCCACCTCCTACCTTTGAGGATACGTAGAAGTCCTTGGCAGTGGGTCTTACATCAAACTGGGGCACCCCTCTCCCCCACCACCCACCCTTTTCCATTGCTCCAGAGGGGCCCTGGCTGTAAAGTCTTGACATCAGGGAGCCTTAGCCAACTTGAAGCGCCAGTGAGTGACCTTGGGTTTGTTTAAACCACATTTTTGGCTCTTCCTAAAGGAGAACTTCTTTCCTTTTTGGGTTAATCAGCTCTTTTTTTAGAACACCCAGTCTGAAGCGGGGGTGAGTGTTGGTATTTGGTTTGGGAGGGTCCTTGAGGGGGGATGGACAGGACCGAGGCTTGTGACTGGGGCGATACCGACCTCTCTCCTGGGATACTCAGTTTACTGTTTTCTAAGATACATCTTTTTTTTACTGTTTCTCGCTCGCTCGCTCCTTTTTTTTTTTTTTAAACTTTTTAATGGCATTCCTTTTATTACTTATTTATTCCCATGCCATAAGCTTTTATTTCTTCCATTTCTTCTGGGATATATTTTTCTTCCGTGCAGCCTCCCCTTCCGGTTTAGGAACAATTTGTTCCCTTTCAGGCAGCATCATCTGAATGTGGCAGGGTGAGCTCATGTATGGGTGAATCTAACCGACGCTGAGCTCTGTAGGTCCGGCGGCGCATCTTAGGTGCTTTGTTCAGTTGGTTATGCTGAAAGACCAGAGAATCTGCATCTCAACCCTTAAATTCAGCATGACTGTATTTTTAAGCATGTGCAGCAAAAATTCAGCACTCTTTTTGGGCCACCAGCCTTGTGGCCAGCCCCACTCCTTGGCCTGGGCACACCTGCCACCTCCACCATTGTAACGTCAAAATGGTACACGTTGTTTCTGTAAAGTGGCATCTTTCTGATATTTCATGGCTTTTTGTATATGCATGCCCTTGATAGCCTGGGCAGTTTCAGGAGTTTTTGTTTGTTTGTTTGTTTTTTTGTTTTTTGAGACAGAGTCTCACTCTGTTGCCCAGGCTGGAGTGTAGTGGCATGATCTTGGCTCACTGCAACCTCCGCCTCCTGGGTTCAAGAAATTCTTGTGCCTCAGCTTCTCAAGTAGCTGGAATTACAGGCATATGCCACCATGCCTGGTTAATTTTTGTGTTTTTACTGGAGACAGGGTTTCACTATGTTGGCCAGGCTGGTCTCCAACTCCTGGCCTGAAGGGATCCTCCTGCCTCAGCCTCCCAAAATGTTGGGATTACAGGCATGAGCCACCATGTCCAGTCTCACAATTGTTTTTAAAGTGAACACAAAGATTTGAACCTCTTAATTTGCATGGTTCTGTGGGGTTTTTTGGATCGAGTGAATAGTGAACTATTTTCACAGATTACCTCAAGCCACTTAAGGGAAAAAAATTTTAAGGGATTTAAAAAAAACGGCTCAAACTCCTGACCTCGTGATCCGCCCGTCTCGGCCTCCCAAAGTGCTGGGATTACAGGCTTGAGCCACCGCGCCCGGCCTGAGATCCGGCCACTGCACTCCAGCCTGGGCGACACAGCGAGACTCCGTCTCAAAAAAAAAAAAAAAAAAAAAAAAAACGGCTCATTAACCTTCATAGCTGGAAGGTAAAACTCATCTTTGTGACTCTGATTTCTTTCTTAGGAACCTAATACCTAGAGCAGCGGTTTTCCATGGGGGGCAAATTGCCCCCACCGTGCCCCCAACCCTGAGGACAATTGGCAGTGTTTGGAGACGTGTTTGGATGTCACAACTGTAGTGAGGTTTGCCCCTGGCAGGCAACCAGGATAGAGGCCAGCGATGTCCCTAAACATCCTATGACACTCAAGACTAATTCCCCCTTACCCTGCCCCCCATGACAGAGAATCCCCTGGCCAGGACATCCAGAGCACCTAGAGGAAGAAGCCCTGTATGCTCCGACTTCACACTGCTGACTTCTTCCCTCGTTCTCTTGGGAGAAGGACCTTTATTCCAACAATATGGCCATTTTTCTCTTTTAAAATTTTTTATCTATTTATTTT